TTGACGGATACAAATTTAACATTAAATAGCATATAAGAGAAGTAAAATTCTAAAACAGTTAAACTGTTGGTGGTTGTGTGCTCGCTGCGGTGGCCTACTGGAGAGCCACATATGATGACGACGACGTGCAGGCACATTTTGTATGTTCAAAAACGAAATTTTCCCAATAAGACCATGTCGATACCATGACTGGAACTTCAAGCAGCCCTACTGGGAACGAGACTGCTGGACACCGTAAAACAGCAGCACGGTTCAGCAATCAGCAGCTGCGTACTACGGACTGACTCTAAAACTGTGCTGCTCCCAGCAGCACCCACCGCCGATAAAAGCCCTTCGTTGGAAACCGTTTGGCGGCGATTTTAGAGTCCACAGTAGTATCCCAACGGAGGTAAATACCGTCTGCCTACGGGAACCTGAGAACAACTGGCCGAAATCTTCTTCGGGTGATGGCATGATGCCATGTGTGTTTGCACTGGTTATAGCAAAAACGTTTACATATTTCCAGAAGTTCTCGAGCTACAACCGATTGGTCAGGGCCACTGCTTGGGTCCTTCGGTTCATCCAACGGTGTGGCGGACAGCGTGACAACTGCAGCTGAGTGCGCCGAGGCGGATCGCATGTTGATCCGGCGGGCGCAAAGTGAGGCGTTCGCTAAGGAGACTCTACGGAAGACTGTCATAAAGGGCAGGGCGGCGCCCGATCATACTGTCGCACAAAAACGCACTGGCAGAGAATATCATCTGTCACTACCAGGGAAATGCGGCATCAAAACCTGAATATAACTACATGAGAAATCCGTTAACCAACTTACAAAGGTTACTACAAAGGGTGTAAGTAAGGTTTAAGTAAGCCTGGCCTAGACTATTGGGGGCCGCTGATGGTGACGATTGGACGTCGAACCGAGAAAAGGTGGGTCGCACTATTCACCAGCCTAACCAAAAAGGCCATCCACTTGGAGATGTCAACAGATTCGTGCATCATCGCCATGAGGAATTTCATATGCCGCCGTGGACCAGTGATCAGGACGAAAAGCAACAAAGGAAAGAATTTCGTCGGAGCTAACCGAGAGGCCAGGCAATTCAATGAAGTCGTCGGGCCAGAGAAGATCCAGGGCGAACTGTCGTCGAAAGGAGTCGAACGGATCTTCAACTGCCCATCGAACCCGGCTAAGGGAGGGGAGCAACATCGATGCATCGATGCTTTTAAATTTTTTGAAACAAGTATGTTCTATGGCGACCATCGATGTTTTTGCCACATCACTTAAACAAAGGAAACACTGAAGGTATGTGGGTTAAAACATATTTATAATATATATTATATTTATATATTATAATTCATATTAAGAACCATAATGAGCCTGAAGACTGTGACCCACAAAACTTTTGGTAGGTAAAACCATGTTAAATTGATTATAATAAATTTGAATACAGTCGAAGTTCGGATATTAGAATCACTTTGTTCCTAGGATGATTCTAATTTCTTAAAAGTTCTAATTTCTGGACAGTTATTTGGCAATAAAAAAACAACAAAATAACAGTAGAAATAGTTACGCAAGTTTTATTTTAACGTAAAATCATTTTTACTTCAACCACGAACATCGATGTTTCTCCACCTCTAAGGAGCAACCCACGCCAGAGAGGTGCAACGAATAATAGTTTTCGGACAAACTTGAACATTTACTCAGAGTTTTTGTGAGTCAAAAAATTTGGTTAAGCAGCATGAAATGATTGATTTGCGCCGGTTCGAAACGAACCAATCACTCAAGGAATATATCATACGTGATTGCATATGAGCGTTTGTTTTGGTTCGGTCTGAACGTCTGATCGAACATGCTTTTCACAATCAAGCTTGTTCGAGACTGACTGTCCGTTTGTGCTCGTGCGCCACCCAACGACACCCAACGTTGGGTTAAACCAGCCAAAGCGACGCTTCGGTTCCTGTACGGCTCCATTTTGCATTGGAGTTAAAATTTTTTGTGTCAAGGCCTGCATCAATTTTCGGTGGCAGATTTGATAAAAAAAAAAACGATTCATAATAATGGATGTTAAGCTACTGAGCTTCTTCAGTAGCGTTGTTTTGCAAGATTATTTAAGAGACGATGATTGTTCAGTTAATATATTCACAATTTATTTTACTTAAGTTAATATATATTTATTATCCAAAACTAGCGAAAGGTGTGCGAATTTAATAACGAAAGTTAATGATGGGTCGATTGAAGACGCGGGGGCCGGTTCAAGACTGTTGAAGTTGATATGTTTATGTTAGGTTTAGTTTAGAACTCTGTGGCAGGCAGGCCACTGTGCCAGACAGCCAAACTTTTTACTACGGTGATGATCGAATTTGAAGTGTGGTCTGCTTTTTCTGATGAGCCTCCCCCACAGCGGCTGACTAACGCCGAGAAAGAGCAACGCACCAGCAAGAGCATAAGTACAAGCAAACAAACGGTTATAAAGAGAGACATTAGATTAAGAGATGATCAACTACTCTTTGTGCTGCCATGGGCCGGCGCTTAGCCGAACAATGGAAATTAATTTAAAAACTGTTTCTGAACAAATTGGGAAGGGCACCTACACTCTGACTGGTCGAAGTTTTAGGTTTTAATACCTAAATGTACATATATAATTTACATTGTTATGTATAGTATATGTATCTATTTTGATCTCATTAAATTAAGGAATTTTTTTTTTTTTAATTTCTATTATTTTCTATAATTTTGTTTTTTTAGTTTTGATTTGTATATTTTTATAATATAAATGAAACAAAATGTGTTTTTTCTTAATCCATTCCCATTATAAATCTGTTTTGTTTTTCAATCATTGAGCAAATTGCCATTAAATCTTCAAACTACGGGACAACCGACATGTAAAATTGCAAAACACTCTGCAATGCTAAAAATTTTAGTAACCTCAAAAATCATCATCTGGGACGATTGCAAGTTGGCGCACAAACGCGCATTGGAAGCTCTTGATCGAACCTTAAAATATCTGCGCAATGACTCGAGAATGATTGGTCCGCCAAACACTGGCAATCATTCCAAGATAGACTTCTGAAATAAACGCTCGCCTCATATCATCAAATCTGTGGTGATATGGTAAGAAGCTTTAACTGGCACCAAACATGAAAACTGTATTGTTGAACGAACCATCTGCTGAAGATTTCTCCAAGCAATTCCGGACTATCGGCAATTTCATTTCCTCCTAATTTTTGCCATTTCGTCTCGTCGAAAAACGAGCTCATCAGCAAAGTCATCCCGAACATAATTTCTAACCACAAAAATAACAAATTGTTAAGCAAGCAAGCAACGTTATAACGTTATAATTCAGAATGAAATCGTTGTTTATCTGCATATTTCTTCGTTTCTTAGCTTTTCAGTGTGGCAAAGTTCATTACAACCAAATGTACGATGCTTAGGTTATGTGAAAAAATTAGCCGATAACTCTGAAAACTTTAAAAAATATACCAGTTTACAAAAATTATTAAAAAGAAATGTTCTGCCAAAGCAAAAAAACGAGAAGGAACGTGTGAGTCGCTTCTGGGGACGCGACTCTACTTAAACCCGTACTCAGTCAGTATATACATTTTTGAGCTTATGATTTTTTAGAATTTTAGAATTAAAAAAAATTTTATATTTTACATTTTTTGGCTACATCTGTTATATACATCTACATATACTATGAATATTCTACATCTAACATGTAGATTATAGATGTACCATGTAGATTCTACATCTCCTCCGCTAGAGGACGCTTGGGTACATAGCGCGGCAGAGTGTGCGAACGAGAAAGAGAATGAGTCCTTGCTGAAGTAGGCGGGGGAAGCAACTTAAAATTAATTTCTTCTGGCTATAATTATGATCCGATCTGATTCAGATTCGGCAATCTGGTATATATGGGCATTCTCTACGATACTGCGTTTTTAGTTTTATCGTATCTTTAAAATTGTGCCTGCTACAGATGTTGTCCTTTGTGGCGGCGGAAGGGGGCTGGCGAAATTTTGAAATACACTTGTAGCAGTGTGATATCACATGAGTCTGGATACCAAATTTGGTTTCTCTAGCTCTTATAGTTTCTAAGATCTAGGCGCTCATCGAGACAAACTGTAGATGTAGCAAAAAAATTTTTTTTTTTAATTTTAAAATTCTAAATAATGTACATAGTATATACTGACTGAGTACGGGTATAAGTAGAGTCTTGTCACCAGAAGCGACTCACACGTTCCTTCTCGATTTAATGTATATTTAACCAAAAAATTGTGTTTCCCTTTCGTGGTAGCAATCCCCAAACATTAAACTAAAAATTTGAAGAAATTGTATAGTTTTATTTACTAACAAAGAACAGAATAAGGGTGACCGCATGGAAAAAATTAAAATTTTGTTGATCAAATTTTGGCCCAGCCTATTCTACATACACAATGTAGATTCAACATATCCGCAAAGGTCGCGCATTGAACAGGGCAGAGTGTGTGCGAGCGAAAAGAGAATGAGTATCGTCAGCAGCGCCGAAGGACGTGGGGGGAAGCAACTGAAAATTCTAGCGTAATAATGATCCGATCTGATTCAGATTCAGCAATCTGGTATGAGTATGAGAGAATGACCATATATTCTCTACCACGTTTTTAGTTTTCTCATATCTTCAAAATTGTGTCTGACACAGATTTTCGTCCTTTGGTGAGGAAAAAGGGGTTTGGGTGAAATTTTGAAATACACTTGTAGCAGTGGATATCACATGAGTCTGGAAACGAAATTTGAAAGCAACGCTGACATCAACGCCATGTGGCACTACAAATTGTCAAACTTGTACTACTATTGCAATATTTTAAAATTTTTCAAGTATTTCTCTAAATGCTGACTTGTAAACGCATGGTTATTATAACTGCCATGAATTAGGTCTTTCTATGTTTTTTTTTAGAGTGTGCAAATCTTATATTTCTAGGCTGTTGGCCTGACTGTACCGAAAACAAAAAACATTTTGTTTATTATATTACGTTAAAAATTGTGTTACCTGGAATAGTCTTTTTTACAGAGTATCAAACCTCTTCGTGTAAAACAGCTGGAACCGACCTCGGCTAACATGGCTCCGCAGCAATGACATTTTAGGCAACCATTGTGCCAATATCTGTCTAAAGCATATAAAAGATATCTATCACTTATTTTATCTATGAATAAAAAAGAAAACCAAATATTAGTTAATCTTGTAAAATCTGGTAATATACGCACATTCGGATAGCCGAATGTACCATACCGTTATAATTAAAACATTTTGTATTTAGAGTTTTATGGATATAATTAGCTACGCAATCATCTTCATTTTTATTGCAGTGGATATTTATTGCTACTTTTCGTAACAAGATTAAAAATGGTAGTCGATGGTAATGTCTGTTTGTCGTTCTGTCGAGTCCCGATGAGCGCCTAAATCTATAAGAGATGGGGAAACCAAATTTGGCCATATTTACCAGATTGGTAAATTCGTCCATTTTGGCGTTCAGATGAGGCTACATTCTGCTGAGATACAAATTGCGGCCTATGCCTATGACGGCTCACGTTTCCAGTCGTTTCAATTAGCACACAGAAGAAAGTATCTCTAAAACAAGTCCTAATCAGGTTTTTTTGAGATACCAAGCTTTTTTGGCACCTATTTCTATAAAAAAATCATTTAAAACAAATGAAAGTTAAAACGTTATAATGTTTATTTTGCTTGCTCTTTGCCCGGCCAGATAAATGTTCTACAATAGGGTTCGGTATGCAACCTATGCGTATTAGCATAGAACTCAATTCGGCAACGACAGCCGATAGAAGCTGCAGCCGAAGCGGCAGGTGCAGAGCGCCCCTTAAGAGGGAGAGCGCATGGGTTTGGTTTTCAGTTGCTCTTATACCGAGAATGTTACATTTAATCTTATAAAATATCCGCTGGCCAAGCTTGTTTTGTCGTCAAAATTTGAAATGATTCGATGCAAAAACTTCTGTGGCATTTGGTTCGCTTTAAAACAGGGAGCAGGAAACAGGGAAAAGGAGCTGCTGCTGCGTTGCCGCTCACGTACACGTGTCTTACAGTGGTTGGCAGCAATACAATGTTCCGTTTTCCGTGCTGTTTACGCACACAAGCTCACTGCAAATATGTGAACCACTGCTTTGAAACATCCATACCATCGATAACTGTTTTTTTTGGGCTCATATTTATATACATATCCATGATTTGTCATCTGTGTAGATGTTATACACACCCTACAGTACCAGAAGTGACAAATGTCAACTACATTCAGGATTTTTTTAATATATTTTAATTAACCCATCCTATTTTAAAAGCGATTCAGTTGAAATGCCCGAAATGAGCACGACGGCCTTACGAACATGAGCAAATCAACAAAACTAAAAAGGTTATTTGGAAAAAGAACACACAGCACGAAAATGTAAATCTAGATATAAGAAAAGAATAAATAAAAGAAATTTAATATTTTAAAACAGAATTTACTCATACCTTTTCCTAAAAATAGTCAAAGTTTTTAGTTAAATACATCGCTTATTAAGGCCTCACTTTTTAACCCTTTCAGGACCGAATTAAAGTGGGTGGGTTAAAAAAATATTTGAGGCCATATTATTATTAAGATGACCACAAATAATAACCAAAATAAATTTCAAAGTCCCACGTATCCTGGTTTGTCCTTAACAAAATGTTGCCCATAGGCAAAATTGGACCTGAATATACTATTTTTATAAAGTTTTTATTAAACATACGGGACGTTTAGCATACGTTGTTTCTAAAGATAAATTTAATAGATCGAAGGCATTTATTTATTTTTTATTTTTATTTATTCAAATTCTTAGATTATTTATTTTCTTGGAAACTTAAAGTTCATTTTCTCAATGTTCAGATTTTATCCCCAGACTTAACATGTAAAGTTATTCTACTTTTACTGAAGCTTAAGTATGGTACGATACAAAGCAATTTTTTTGGGGATTTGACCAAAGGTAGACGTCACACTTGGAACATTTGGAGCGAGGAAATCATGTCTTGCATAGTCTGCATCTACCTTTTGAGCCCCATTGAATCCGATGTGCGATCTGGTAATATCTAATTGCTTTAGAAGGTTCCTGAACATACATCCTTTTACATGTAGGAGTTGATGAGTCTGATATAGCTGGAGACGATAGATCTGGAGCTGGTGATGTTGGAGCCGGGGATGCTGATATTGACGATCTTGATGACGAATCATACGAGTCAAAATTAAATGAAAGCTGTGCTGGGCGACCTCGATTTCGTGAAGAAATTTCTTTCTTGCATTGAAAAAGTTCATTGGCAATATCTAATTGAAAGTTTATTAGAGCCATGTGTGTGCATTTTCTTCGGTGAAAGCCAAATCTCGTCGGTATTGTAGCCAACTATTGACCACTGCCATATTTATAAACAAAAATACGATGCGTATATACCACTTATTGGAACGGTGATTGATTTTATAAAGCTCCAGTAGCATGTCCGACAGATCAACGCCGCCCATGTGCTTATTGTAGCAATCTACAATAGCCGGGCGTTTAATTTGTATATTTTGCTTCTCCTTTCTGCACATTCGAGTTCATTCCGTGACAGGTTTGTCCCCAATATAATTTGATATCAATTGGACACTTTTATTGTCATACCAGCGACAAGCAATTAAATTGTGCGTGCTCTCAACTTTAAAATCATAAGATCCCCTACCTTCCTTAGCAAGGTCCTTTTCAGACTTTAAAACGCAATTTTTAAGGCGGTTTGAGCGAATAGTTCCGACTGCGAGAATTCCTTTTTCTTTTAAAGCAATCATTAAACTTACTGAAGTGAACCAGCCTATCAAAAAATAATTGAAGTTTTCCTTTCCTTTCCGTTTCCTTTGCTCATCAACGCTTTGATACTCCTCTTGCTCAAGTCCGTTGCATAAATCCTTCATTTTCGACAGTAACGGACGGATTTTATATAGCTTGTCAAAATCACTCGCACCTTTTTTAGGTTGTTTAGAAATGTCATTTAAGTGAAAATGTGTTTTGATTTTCTCAAATCTATTTCGTGTCATTGAATCGGCTACTGCAGCTAGTCTGAATTTTGATGGTATTTTGACTACAGCCAAGTACATCAAAACGCCAATAAAACGTTTGATTTCGACTACAGTGACCTTAAGATCTGCTCCACCATTTTGCAACGCATATAAATTGGTTTCAGTACAGATTTTTTGAATAATTTCGTCATCAAAGTACTTGTAAAAGTTCCATGGTCACTGAACCATTGATGGACCTCAAATTGTCTTGATTTACTTTTTCGAAAATCTGCTGCACCGTTTCATCACTAAGTCCACGATCATTGTCTTCGCCCTCATTCCTCTTCAGCAATGCATCTTCAATAGTGTTTCCTTTGGCAACAACATCTTGCATTGTGATTTCTATAAAATTTTCTCAAGTGAGTCGTTATCTTCTTCATTTTATCCGTAATTTTCATCTACGGAATCATCCCACTCAAATCGGCAAATACGTTCAATTTCCAATTGAGTTAAGCCTTTGGGCCGCATGTCTAGCAGAAGAAGTTTTTTAATATATGAATACTATTCAGCCTATAGGCAATATTGTGTTTGCAAAAATCCAGGGAAGAAACTAAACTCGTTTCAGTCACAAATTTGTTTCATACCTATTCACTTACCTTATTTAATCCACCAAAAACAATTTTGTTTATATCTGAATTATAAATTCTGTACAAATGCCTTTAGTTCACAATCACTTTTTCATCAATTTTTTCGTCAACTGTTCTCGCCCCGCAAGCGACACTAATACTCAGAACTCACAACTTGTAACTGCGCAATTTCTACTCAGGGATAAGAAGAACAGAACCACCAATTAGACGATGTAAAAAAAAATATCGAAAAGAATATCTGAAACGGCTATTTTGTCATTTGAAAACAATGTTGCCTATAGGCAACACTGATCCTGAAAGGGTTAAGGGAAATTCATCGCTTATTAAGGCCTTACTTTCGGCTAATTCTCGCGTACTATGTCATCGCTTATATTCCTAGGACGTCCCTGTGTTAAAGTAAACAGTCCATCGTATGGCAGGTCATCGCTTATGTCATCGAGCTGCATAACGTTGGCATCGATGTGTCGTCGCTTAGTTTAATTGTGAAAGTAAAACTAAAATTTAAAAAAAAATAAGAAAAAATGCACTCCGACGGTGAAGTGATTGTGTTGGTGGCGGCCACATATTGTTGCATCTCTCTTTTTGGTTTTGAGCACAGATTTTGCCCCCATCTCTCACTTTTAACTTCAGTAATAATGGTAAACCATTTTCTCGGAACGGATTAGCTCTAATCGATAGTATTCGCATATAATATTTCTAAAAAGATTAGGAATTTGGGTGACCTGCGATCACACTAAAGTTAGCAAGTCAAGCAATGCTTCCCGCGGTCATCGTCGGTCGGCGTCAACTATATATTCCTGAGCTGTGTATCAGCTGTTCTCTCAGTCCACACACGCTCTCAATAGGCCAAATATCGATAGGAAAATGATGATTTCGTTCAACTTGCTGGAAACAAGCAAAAAATTCCTGGCACAGTTTTTATACTCGAAGATTTAAGAGGTATTTTAAATATGTGGTCAAAGTGTATATGTGTAACGCACAGAAGAAAACGTTTCCGACCCCATAAAGTAAATATATTCTTGCTCAGCATCAATAGCCGAGTCGATATAGCCATTTCTGTATGAACGTCTTGACAAACGCCTAGTTCTCAGAGACTATAAGAGCTAGAGAAACCAAATTTTGTTTCCATACTCATGTATCACACTGCTACAAGTGTATTTCAAAATTTCGCCCCGCCCCCTTCCGCCACCACAAAGAACGAAAACCTGTGGCAGCCACAATTTTAAAGATACGAGAAAACAAACTAAACACGCAGTATCGTAGAAAATCACCATATATACTAGATTACTGAATCTGGATCAAATAGTATTATTATAACCACAATGATCCAGCTATTTTATTAAATACAAATAAAACAGGTCTAAAACATTACGAATCTTACTTTCACAGAAAGATTGCTCAAATGGTGATTAACCCTCATCCAAATAATTTACCATCATACATGTTAAGTTAATAAAATAAGCATTTTAGAATATGACTACAATCCGCTGACTGAATTTTCATAGAACG